ATAGCCAAAAAAGCTTTATCCATGTCTCAATCAAAATTGTACCAAATTCTAATCTCAGTTTGACCATAAAATGGAACTTTGGTGAAAACTCGACTTGGCAAGTATTTCTCCACCACTGGATTGTATTGTCTCCACATTGCCTTCATCCCCTGGCCTCTCCTGTTGTTTGAGTAAACAGTAGTTGTCAATTTGCACCGGTCATGGGAGCAGGCTGAAGCCTCCTTGGCAGTGATTTGTGTGGAGGGAGACAGTCCCATCTGTTCCCTGTCCACAGGGGATGTTGGGTTAGCCAGGCAGTCTCCACCACCACCTTCCCCTCTCCATTCCTCCTCAACACCCAGAGAGAGGATAATGAGAACGGGGAGAGGGTGCGCCACACATCACCGGGCAACATTTGCGTCTGAGATCCCGTCTCATCCTCTGTCTTATTGACACTGGGCCACAGCTGGTCACATGTAATCTAAGCAAACCTGGAACAATTCCTCAAATGCAGAGGAGCAGCCTGACATATGTCTCAGTGACTGCGATGCTGATGGCAATGCTCATAACTTTTGGAATTTGGTTGAGCTGACCCTTAAATCAAATGGGTACACACAAGACAATCCATCTGCTGCAGCTTTTCATGCAGTTCGAAACAATGCATCTGCTGCAAATTTGACTCTTATAAATAAAGACGTTCATAAAGTTATTTACAGTGTAATAGCAAAATGTTGCATCTCTCTTGTAGTACCGTCTGTATTTTGGATCACTTCGTTCTCTCACGAGCGGTTCAAAAGCAGGCAGGCCAAAACACAGCTTGAAATATTTAATTAAAATATTTAATCAAAAGAGGAATCTGGAAGAGGACTTGTTGTTTTGTTATTTTTACCCACTTCTCCAGAGCCAGTTAATCAGAGCTCACTTCTCTGTCGAGAGTCAATCATTTCTCCTCTGAGAGCAGCTTGGAGGAGGTCTAAACAATACCTAAATTGAGACTAAAAGTGGCTGTCATGATTTGTGTTTCACCCCCACCCGGATGACGTCTTTCATTTCATCCCAGCCTGCACCTCTTGACCCGCCGAGAGGTGACAAATGTTAATACTTCATTCAGAGTTCCACTCAGCATTAGGTCATTTATTTCAGCCTGTAACAACAAACAGTTTGTGACAGGTTGCATTGTCTGGCACGGATGTCGCCCACTGCGATCTGGGCAGGGACCGGAGGCTTAAAAAATCTCACAACTTAACGGTGTGACCAGATGTTCTGCTGACCGTCTCATATTTGCAGTGTAACAGATGAGATCTGGCATCGCACAGACGATGCTGAGACGTACTGAGGGACACACCCACACATGAGGCAGAGGAAAACTCTCGCTGTCTGAAAATGAGATTCCCTTCATTCTGCCCGCAGAACACAATGTGCTGAGATTTGCATGTGTGAATGAAAGTGTTTTCCCCTCGTATGCTTCAGTTATATTATATTCTCATTCCTTTAACACCCTGCAATATTAGTTTTGCACATAAAACGTCACACATTGGTCTAATTTTTCAATATCTCACTCTGTTCTGCTAAACATTCATGTTTGCAGAGTTTGGTTGATTGCTTTCCCGCCCATAATCACATTAAACAAAAGGCAAAGCAGCCAGAATACACCCCAGCTCGTTCCTCGAGGGCAGACTGAAATTACAATATGTAGCAGGTCAACGTGCTCCTTTTGGGACCCGGGTCGGACTGATATTAGAATATTGATTCAGACAGAAAAGGGACTCACGTCAGCCTGGCACCGAGATTCTTAGGAGGATATTATTTCAGTAAAAAACAGCATGAGCGAGTTCATAGCAGGATTTCAGTTTTAATTTGCACATCAGAATTAGTGTAGCTCACACGTTCAGACACCAAAGGAGAAGAGAAAAAAATGGCAATAGCTCATATACCAACACAGCTGTATAGTCATTCATATCCAGTGCATGATACATTAACACTCCTGACTAACATTGTGGGGAATATTTTTGTTTCTCTCAGATTCAACATTTTGGTTGAGTAAGAAACTCTCAAGAGAACAATTGACATTTTGTTATGGGTTCAGCTTCCTTTTTACTTTGACATCTCCTCTTCCCTCAGCCCCTCCTGATGTCACCTGACCATCAACTGCATGCATGCCTGACCCTCGCTGCATCAAAGTAAAACCCTAATCTAAATGCATTTTAAATTTAATGATAAGTAATAATAAATAAGTATATCTCCTGCTGAACACCATATGCACATCGTATTATAGTTTTCAAAGTATACTTCAGAAACATGGTTTTAATTGGCTGAATTGTTAAATGTTTACAATGGCGGAAGATGTCCTTTGCCTTCATGACTCACAGGATAATAAATAAATAAAAAACAGAAATGCTTCATTTCTTAAAACTACTTGGCCACTTCCTCCACAATCATAAGTACAACGAAGTGCAACACTATGATAGAACTAGTTTGTTCACAGCATTCATAGTCCAGTGAAAGTTTCTACCACATTTTCTCTTTTGACTTTGTTTTGGCAGAAAGCTCAGAAACAAGTGGTGTATTGCTGTTTTTCAAACGAGATCCTCTCCATTGTGTAACAGTAAAATCTGTCCTTTACAGTGTTTAATAAGACACATAAAAGCCTCCTGTTCACATTTGAATTGTGCTCCATGAAACTTGCCTGTAAAATTAATAGTACATTCTGTAGAAAGTGTCTGGAGTTATGTAAATTGCAGCATTAAAAGCTCTCTCCGTGTTCACCATCTTTATGCTTTTCTTTTATGTGAGAAGTTCATGAATTATGCAGCCAGGTGAGTGTGAATCAGGTGCAAATTTGTTTTTTCTGCGAGTGTGAGAGATGCTCGGGGTTAATTCATTTACACTCATTCATTTTTTTTCACCACCAAATCCCTGTGGTTGTCACACACACCTGCATCTGCCTATATACTGACGTTGTCCATGATATCAGAGGACATTACATTGACTTATAACACAAACTATTACCTTTACCAAAAACTCTATATCCCTAACCCTAACTTTATCCGAGATGTGACCTAAAACATGTCTTCACGTTAATGACTTACGTCCCCATAAGGGAGACATGTCCTTGTAATGCAACTTTTTAGCCGGTGTCCCCACAACACATATAATACCAGGATCGCAGCCCAGAGGTCAGAGGGGCAGTGAAGACACAGGAGAACTGGAGTGAAGCTTTGAGTCACTCTCCACCTCCAGTCTCTCAGTTTCCTGCTGCTCCTTCGTACCTGATGGGGACGCCTGACTGTTTGATGTGTGTGACAGCGGTACAGAGAACACCACACCCTGCAGTTCCGATCTGGTCTAATCATGGACCCACCGCGGCGCTCTCCTGCCGATCCGCATCCTGTCACCTGCAGGGGAAAAGGTCAATCCAGGTAACATCACAGCTCACAAGGCAGGTAACTCACGATGATTTGTCCCAAACAAACATGGCTGCAGCGACACTCCACCCTACTTTCATCTCTCTGTGTGTTTTCCAAAAACCACGCCCTCACACCGAGCTGGATTGTAGCCACCGTGAGTGCAGAGGTGTCGTCATGTACAGTTCCTCTAATGGTGCTGGGAAGCTCATCTGTGGTTCACTTCATTTTTGGTTACAAATGGATTTAGGGAGAAAGCTTTTTCAGGGTGGGACTGATTGAAAGTGGAATATTCTATGAAAAAATAAAAGGAGTTTTTGTACTGTACAGCGAAGAAAAGTTCATTTATTCACAAATGACTATTTTAATATTATTATGTTAAATAATATTTAATTATAACTAACTACAAATTCTCCAAAACCAGATACTTCTGATGTCACAGCAGAAGTACAATTACACTTCATTTCTTATATCCAGCTCATATTGAGCCAACTCTTTCCTGGCACTCATGTCTTAAGGCATCAAATCTCACAATGTTGACCAATCAGGTCCTTCTAAAGATAAACCGTATTAACATCCACAATCATACACAGAAATGTCTTCACTTTCCCTGAGCTAAAAGACAACTCACACTGCGTTTCTATGCTTTAATAATTTGCTATTCTGCTCCATTGTCCTCTGGTGTCATCATAAAGGCCCCACAATTAGAGTTAATACCACAATTGTTACTCTGCTCAAGGAGGGGCTGGTGTTTTCAATCCACTCTCTGACAGAGGTCTTATTGTTAAATGCATGACTTAAAGTGTCTCATTCCTTATTGACCTCATTTATGACAAAAGAGAATCAGCTAAGCACTCCAGCGCCCGCACTACAGCGATCCAGAGGACAAATGGAAATGTTTGGTTCCAGAGTTTAAAAGAAAACTTAAGATGCTACTTTTGAGAGTTTAGTCAACCTTAATGCAAAGAGAAACAAAAAGAACACAAGGTTTAATAAAACAACTGAGGTTACTAATCTTTGCCCAAGTTCACACTGCTAACTTAATATGAAAGCCCGTATTTGTATATAACACATCTCCGACTAGCTGCATACTGAGAAACCCTCCTGTAAGAACAAAACAATAAAACATGTAAATATGCACATCTGTGCGATGAAGGATTTAAAAAAGGAACAGGGTATATTTAATGCTCAATGACGATCCCTGGGGTTTCTGAGAAGGAGTGTGAAGGCATCTAGATTGAGACTGAGGTGGTAAAATGTTCTTCAAATAGAGGGAGCAGCCTGGGTGACAGCACAGATGATCGAGGCGATGATATCGCTGCGGTTGTCCCCGGGGAAATAGTACGAGAGATTTAATTCACAGAGTCTTCTCATGATCGAGAGATAGGAGCTTTAGGAGCTGGAGAAAATGAGACACCTAGAATGAAATGTGAAGTTAGCTGCACTCACAGGGATATTTTGTCTGATCTGGACTGATCCTGGTTTGTCCATGTGAAGAGACATCTCTCCACCAACTAAAAATTCCACTTATTTCTTTAGAAATTAAAAACAGATTTTTACAAACACCTTTCAAAGTCTACTGTTGCTTTGTGTATATCAGCACTCGTGTGCCAGAAAAGCACAATGTTACAGAAAGTTAAATAATTTCCTTTATCTGCATTTTAATCAAATCCTCTACAAAATGGGTTCTTCCCTGGTCCATACCTTTAAGAAGTTTTAAGAAAATCAGTTCAGTAGTTTTTGCGTAATCCTGCAGACCCAACAGTCGGATAGTAACGACTATGGAAAACATTTTGTTTTGTCCTAGTGTATGCAGCCTTACAGCTAAGTCTTTTGTTGGATGTATTTATAATGAAGCCAAAATGTGAGCAAACATATTTGCTGTATAATAAAGCCATACACTGTGGTTTATTGCCATCAAAGAGCCAGGCTTATCGATGTCTGCTTGTTGATCTCCACTGAGGTCTGTTTAATGATCTCCGTTGCTCTCCTCTTGCTATAAGCTGTCTGTCAAAATTCAATTAATTTGTCAGAGGTTATTGGCCTGCCAGTGCACTGCATTTTAATAAAGCTGAAGTGCTTTGATAAGACCTCGCTGTAATTGACAGCGAGGAAGCGATAAAGCCGCCTTTATTTATTTCTTCTTTTTTATTTTGCCTCCCTCGGTCAATGATTCTCCAGCGCAGCTTGATCGGTGCATTGAGGATGCATCCTTCAAGCCCTTTTGAAACTCTATCGCAGGTTTTCAGCGAGCGGTTTCATTTGAACTCCACTCTGGGTTTCTCAAAAAAAGGACAGTGACTTCCCAACCGTGAGACCGGTCTTCTCTTGTATGTGTCTTCTCTGTCAAGGCTGGTATTCTGAGCTGACACGTCTCTTTTCCATCAAAGTGGCACATCTGGGCCTCCTGGAGCTGTAGTCAAATGTCACCCGGAGCCCCCCACAGAGTGATGCCAGTCCTGTGTAGGGTTACACCACCAGCATTCCAGTGTTATTCCTGTGTCGCTGCCCACTATGATACCCACGGGTTTACCTCACATTGTCAGTCTTAAGAATTGTTATAGAATTTAGAAATTTGATTAGCAAGCGTGAGATAAAGGGAATTTTTCTGGTGGGATTATCTTCCCTTTCTTTCTTTACCTGGAGTTTATGTGTTTTGTCTTACTGTCCTCTGGCTCTCTATCACTTTCATAATGAAGCCTTTTGTGACGAGTGTCAGTGAACGGTGCTGCATATATAAGCTTTTGTTGTTACTTATTTTACTTGTCTTAAGCCTTTATCATGCAACGTCAGCGAATGCACACACGCACTAACAGTACATGTAAACAACTACCTTCCGCTTTCTTTTTGAGAAGTTTGTCTTCATCCTGTAACGTTTCACTGAAGGCCAACTGGACGCCAACGTGACTCGTTATCGCAAAGTAATATTGCAAAACAAGAAAGGGTTGGCTCGTTAGCATGCAAGTAAAGATGTGATAGAAATAGAAGCAAAACAAGAGTAATCATCCCCATGTCCACTGCCAGTGCCGAGTAATCGCATAAAACTCTTTCTTTTAGACTGTAAGTAAACATCTTTTAATGCTAATTTTGGCTAAAGGCCCAAAAAACAATTGAAAATGAAATAGTGTAGTTGGGTTGTTTGCCTCATCTGAAATGACAATTATTAAAGGTTTGTAGGGGAAATACATTGTTTGTCAGATTGCACTCAACTAATCGATGGTTATATATAGTTAAAAGTATTTCACAGACCATCTGCAGTTCGACAATGTCTATGCAACCTGCAGCAAGCAGACACTGCCTCATATTAAAGGAGAGCTCCATCAATTTTACAACCACACAGAGATTAGTGTGCTATCACGAGTACTTCTCAGCCTGAACAGTGGTGTACTGTCCACAGTGATTAAACTGCTTTCCATTTGAGAGGATTCAGAAGATTCAGAGTAGGCTTGCAGATAAGTTATGTGAGAAAAAAGGAACGATACAGTGGACTCTTTTCGTGTGATTTGCCAAAATTAAGATAACACCAAAGCAGTTTGGTTTTAGATGTCATTGTTCTTCTTCACAATTATTACTAATATCAAGGTTGTTTCGTTCATAAGGTTCATAATTTGATGTAAAGACTAACTAAAGGAGTTGGAACTGTTTGGCCCTAGAAGTGGTTGCGACAGCCGCTGAAGTGATTGAGAGTGACAACCTTGGTCTGGGGGATGTTCACAAAGTCGTAGGATATAACCATCACGTCATAAAGAGTTATTTGATCACATCTAATTAGTCATATCATGGAAATTGAACCCATACTTGGGACTAAAGGTCAGGACATTTCCGCCACTGCTGCTTCGTGTTTGACCGTTTTCTCAAGGTTTTAAAGAAATGTATGTGTTCGTCTACACTACACTGTGACTACAATTAACAACAGAAGACAACTTTCACACAAAAGTCAAAATTCTCAAAACTGCATTAAATCCATACGACTACAACCATTCTTTACCCTCAGTGTTTGTTTAACAAACTTAAACTTCTCTAACTTCATATTAGAAAAAAGAGTAAGTAATGAGGTATATTAAACTGCAAGATGTCACTCTCATTAGAGTTGCAGGCATGTGTTACAGCTTTACAGGTACTCTTGTTATCTAAGGGATACCCTCCGAACATCGTAAATAGTTTTCCATAAATAACCACTTAGCAGCCAGCCACAAACATCACCCACATACACAATCCTCAGGGGGTGCAGCTATTCTGAGGAACCTTCCTTTCCTTCTTTTCTCCCGTCTCACCATCTTCAGCCTCAACAGAAGTGGGTTCAGTATCAGATATATTAGTCATTTCTGCTGCTGCTCAGGAAGCTCATTTCTGCCAAGCTCCAAAGAAACGGTCAACGTGAAGAGCCGGATGGATGCTGAGCTACGTGATCTTGAGCCAGACTCGTAGATGCCTAAAGATAAAAAATATACACGAGCCTTTTGATCCCCTCAGTGTTTCATTCACCCCTGCTCTCCGTCTCTGGTTTTTTTTTTTTTTTACACCCATAGAGACTTGATTGAGTAGCTCTCAGACTGGCCTTGACAGGTTAAGTAGGGCACGAGACACGATTCTCTGCAGGTCCTGGCCTGCTGCTAACTCACATTACCGGATACATCTGTTTGAGGTCTTTTCCTTAAAGGCCGATAAGTCATGTTGTCACAGGTCTCATTTTGTACACAGAAGATCACGGAGAACTGTGGACTCGGCCGGAAGAAGTCTGTAAACAGGTTTTTGAGCTAAACAGCTTGTTTTCCCTCGTCCAAATTGATTTTGGCGTGTTCGCTTGTTGAATGCCACATTTTCTGATTCATGATAACTCAACATGTTATGAAATCCCACGCAGGGCTGTGGTGTTTCCTCTGGGCTAGTCATCTCATCATTTGATGCATGCTGGAGGCCCCTGACTCGTTCAGACATCTATTGGATAAGGGAAAATGTGATGTGCTATAATTTGGAGGCATCAAAGAACA